CGTAGGTCAGCCTGTAAGGCGTCCCTTGTGCGCTTGACCAGGGGGTGCAATGATGCACCCAGAGGATGCTGGGGAGTTCATCGGGCCACTACCCTTTGGCGTTTCTTAGTCGCTTTTTGAGTTCTCGGAGGATGGCCTCGTTGGCGGCTTCGGCCTGGTCATTGGGCTGGGGGTGTTTCATCGAGGTCAAAAGGTGTTTAATTCCGAGATCGCGGAGGAAGTCCTCGAATTGCTGTGCGCTGAACTGTCGACTGTTGTCGGTAACGAGGGCGTGAGGGATTCCAAACTTGCAGATGATATTCTTCCAGGTGAACTTACGCACGTTCTTAGTGGTGATTTTGGCGAGTGGATATGCCTCGATCCACTAGGTGAAGTAGTCGATTGCTACCAGGAGGAACTTTAGTTGGTCTTTCGCAGGGGGGAATGGTCCGAGGATATCCATTCCCTATAGGGAGAAAGGCCACACCGGCATCATGTGGTGGAGAGTTTCGGGCGGTTGTCGGTGTGCGTTGCCAAGCTGCTGGCATTCTTTGTATTTTTGGATGTGGCTTTGGTAATCCAGCTTCAGAGTGGACTTTGTATGTATATTGCTCGTCGAGATTTGATTGTTTTTCTGCCTTATCGGGCTCAATCTTGTTTTTAGAGTAGGGTAGACTGTATTAAGGGTTCGAATTCGACCTCAAACGGTGGTCCTAAGGTTCGGACTTGGCCTCGGGTTTGCGTAGAATGAATTGTATTGGGGTTCGTACTCGACCTCAGTTTTTGTGTAATAATGAGTTTCATCGAGGTTCGGGTTTGACTTTGAATGAGCGCGTCGGGGTTCGTATTCGTCCTTAATCTAGAGTAAAACGAGGTGTGTCGGGGTTTGGCGTAAACGAATTTTGCCGGGGTTTGTACTCGACCTCGTTTTGGAGTAGAATGAATTTTGTCGAGGTTCGTACTCGACCTCGTTTTGGAGTAGAATGAATTTTGTCGAGGTTCGTACTCGACCTCGTTTTGGAGTAGAACGAATTTTGTCGAGGTTCGTACTCGACCTCGTTTTGGAGTAGAACGAATTTTGCCGAGGTTCGTACTCGACCTCGTTTTGGAGTAAAACAAATTTGTGCATTTCACCAAGGTCCAAAATCGACCTCGGATAAGAGTGTTAAGGTTCGTACTCAAGATTCGTACTCGACCTCGTTTTGGAGTAGAACGAATTTTTTCGAGGTTCGTACTCGACCTCGTTTTGGAGTAAAACGAATTTTGCCAAGGTTCGTACTCGACCTCGTTTTGGAGTAAAACAAATTTGTGCATTTCACCAAGGGCCGAACTCGACCTCGGATAAGAGTGTTAAGGTTCGTACTCGACCTTATAATTTTACCGAGGTCCGGACTCGACCTCGAATAAGAGTGTTAAGGTTCGTACTCGACCTTGTAATTTTGCCGAGGTTCGTACTGGACCTCGGATAAGAGTGTTGAGGTTCGTACTCGACCTTATTTTTTAGTGTTGAGGTTCGTATTCGACCTCATAATTTTAACGGGATTCGGACTCGACCTCGGTTCGGAGTATTAAGGTTCGTACTCGACCTTGATAAGGGCGAAAGAGATTGGTTCGATTTTGTTTTTTTTTTGTAAAAACAATAAATAAGAGAATAGATTCAGCAAAATAAGTAATTTTATTGATCGTTTTTGTGTACCTCGTTAAAAACCCTCTCAGTCAAGGACTGAGGCGGGAAAAGAGTGCACAATTTTGTTTATACAGAAAGGAGAAATAGAACCTAATGAGCTATGGTGGGGGGACCCCCCTTGCTCCGGATGAGGAGATCTTCAGGCTCTCGGCTCTCGGCGGAACAATGCCGCACTGTCTTCTGATTTGCCTTGACGGAGATGATCTTGCCGTCATTCCCTGGGAACTTCATGGTGAGGTGTGGGCTGGACACCACTGCTCCGAGCTGATTCAAGGTTAGCCTCCCGATGATGATGTTATAGGAGGCGTTGGCCTCCATGAGGAGGTATTGAACCATGATTCTCCTTGTATTTGGGGGTACCCCGAAGGTTGTCAGTAGGTCTATGTACCCGCGAGTGTGAACTCGCTCTCCTGCGAAGCCGACTAAGGGCTCCGTGTGCGGCTGGATGAGAGAATGGGGGACGTCTAGCCTAAGGAACGTTGGCCAGTACAGGACATCGACCGAACTTCCTTGGTCAATGAGTGTCTTCTGTACCTCCCAGTTGGCGACCTCCACCATGATAACCATGGGATCATCTTGGTTAGGGCTGACACCCACGTAGTCCTCGTCAGAGAAAGAGATCGGCGGTGAGCTTTGGTGCGAGGCCGAGGTGGTAGAGTGGATGCAGTGACATTCCGCAGGTGCCTTTTTCGGGCCGAGCTGCTGGCGCCTCCCCCAGCGAAACCGCCCGCAATTGTGTTAATCACTCCCCGTAAGGGGGCTGACCCTGTCTCTTGGCTTACCTCGGCCTGCACTGCACCGCCAACATTTTGTTGGGAGCCGGAGGGTTGATTCGTGCGGGCTCCCGAACCTCGGCCTCTGCCACGTCCTCGGCCGCCATGCCCTCCTCGGTGACCTTGTTGCCGCTGGATGTATTGGCCGAGATGGCCTGCCTATATGAGCTCTTTGATACGGTCCCGGAGCGTGCGACATTCCTCCGTGGTGTGACCGTGGTTCTTGTGGTACCGACAATGTTTGGACTTGTCGGCGCTGTTTGGAGTGTGACCTGGTGGTAGAAGGGCGAGTAAGTTGTTATTGCTAGCTTCTTCCAGGATGTGGACTCTGGGTGCGTTCAGGGGGGTGTAAAAGTCATATCTCCCCCCTCTATTTGCCCTAGCCGACTTCTTGAACTGGCTGTCATTGTTGACTTTAACCTTATCGTTGTGCCTCTGCTCTGGCTTTGTTGGTCCTTTTCCGCGAACCTGGTCGCGGAAGGCGGAGTGCTCCTCCATCTGGATGTAACCTGCAGCGCGGGCGCGGAGCTCATCCATGTCACGGGGAGACTCACGACATAGGTTGTCGACGAATGGCCCGGGCTTGAGTGCCATGAGCATGGCGTGTAGGGTGACCTCGGGATTCAAGTTCTTGATTTTGATCGAGGTGGCGGCGAATCGTTCCATAAATGCCCGGAGCGGTTCGTCGTCACTTTGCCTGAGGCTGGCCAGGGAGGCTGAGGTGACATGGTGAGGTCGGCTCGTCGCATATTGCGCGGTGAACCTCCTGACTAGGGTATTGAAGCTGTCGATGGATTGAGCAGGTAGTTGTGTGTACTAGTTGAGCGCGGCCCCCTTAAGTGAGGTCAGAAAAACCCTACACAAGATAGCATCGTTGTTGGTGTAGAGATTTACCTGTGTTGTGTACAGGTCGATGTGCTCATCCGGGTCTGTCGTGCCGTCGTAGCGGTCGAGGTGGAGAGGCTTCCACCCGTGAGGGAGTGGTGTCTCCATAATGCCATCCACAAAAGGGTGGCGGCGGAAGGTTGCCGGTTCTCCCGCAGCATGAGTAGGGGCCTTGCTGATTTCATGGGCTGACCTGTGTGTCGGTGCGTGAGACCGATGTGTGGCCGGCCACTGAGTTGGTGTCTTGGTTGCGGTCCGAGGTTGAGAGACTGAATGTTCTTCTTCCTCGTGGTGGCTTCTCACATGAGGAGGATGATCAGATGGACATCGAGGGAGTTGGGCGCGGATGCGCTCGTTCTCGGCGCGCAGCGCTGCCAGGTTGGCTTCATTAGCGGTGGGCATTGCCGCTAGATCAGTGTCGTGCTGGGCACGCATGTTTTGTAGGTCGGTGGTGTGTTGCTGCTGCATCTGCTCGACCTGATCGATCAGCCTCCTTAATGCCGCTTCACTGTCCATGGTAGTCGTATGATCTGCGTCTTCTGTTGCGCGTCTGCTATGGCTTCTGGTGCAAACCATAAGTGTGGCCGATGAGAGCTGTCTTGATCGGCCCCACGGTGGGCGCCAAATGTTCTTACTGGAAATCTGCTGTAGAGCTGATTCGCCAGGTAAGATCGATGAGCCTTCTTTACGGGTACGCTGGTGCTCCAAGATGAGGGTGGTACCTGCAAAAGAGACTCCGATGCTAAAGTTAGTGTTTGTGGGAGTATGAATCTCGTATATGTAATGCACGTATCTTAATGTGAATTAGGATTGCTTTGGGCCTTGGGCCTGAGATAAAATGTAATATGATTAGATAACGGACCTCGTCTGGGACGAGATCCTCGGGAATCGGTTATGATTCACTTAAATGCCGAGCTGATGTCATGCGATGCGCGTCCAAGGTCGGCTTGCATTGTGGTGCCGAGCTCGGAGCTCGGTTATGCGGTACGGATAGTACAGTAAGCATTTCAATTGTGATCCAAATAAATTGCGTATCTATGTAACGTTCAGTCTTGAACCAAGCTTTTAAGATGAATAGACTGAAAGGGAAGCTTGGCTTCGAATCAATACAAGCTTGATCGAGGACTTCGCAACACATCTTGGAGATGATAAAGCTCATCCTAAAACCTAGATTTTTTTAGAAGAGATGTCCAAAATTTTCTAGTCTATTAAGTCGGTCTAAAACATCGGAGGGTACAATAATAAATCAACTTTATTAAATAAAAAAATTTCAAAAATATTCATAAAACTGAATTTATCACATATATATAACAAAAAAGAATTCGACTCTCATAAAATGAGAATCTACTTCAAATGATAAACTGCACTTGTAATTATTAATTATAAAATAAACGATTAAAATTTGTAATAAATTATATTTATATTAAATAAAATCTAAAATTAATTATAATATCAATTTTTAATTTTTTAATCAATGATTATTATCATAAAGATGCATACAAAAACAATTTCATTTAAAAAAAAGTTTTACAAATTTAAGATATTGTGTCAAAGGCACAACTTTCCTTGTAAACAACTATTTTTACTATAAAAAAAATCGTATTTTCTTAAAATAATATTTTTCAAACACGCTCTAAACATAATAATTTAAAGCTGATTTATGATAAAAACATTCATCCATTTAAAAGATCAATCTCTTTATAACTATTAATTATCAATTAATGCTACTAACCAAACATAAACTGAATGTATATCATCACTTATCAAATTACACATATTTGAACATTCTATCAAATTACACAAGGAAAGTATACATGGGCAAGCATTAACTGAAGGAGTGACTACCTAGCTTTTGTTACAACAGCATCGCTAATCAAATTACAGATATCTGAACATTCCACCAAACTGCCCAAGGAAATAATTGTTAATTAATAAGAAAAAGTGCTCAATGAAAAAATATTTATTACATTAAAAATGAAAACTTATTTAATATATTTTTAAAATTAATTAAAAGCAACTAATCATTTTTTTAAAGCAGTGCTTGATTTTTTTTTACATATCGATGCCATTTATATTTTAAGATAACAATCTAATAACATAAGTATTTTATTTTTAAATTACAACTTTAGAGACAAAAGTAAATATTTATTATATAAATTAATATTCATTTGCATGTTCCTTAAGAGCAAGTCTACAGAAAGATTGATATTTTTATAGCATATGAAAAATTCATATTATGAGTTGACTTGACATCACCTTTTATCAACAACATTGAGTAAATTGATAAGCTTAATCATTATGAATTTTGTTCTGAGATAAATATCTTCATGCTTGGTTTGGTACATACGAAATGCCAAAGAAATAGATTAGAGAGCAAAGAAAAAAAAATCACAATCATTTGTAATCAAAGAGATTTGTCAACAATGAAATAGGTAACTGAGTCTCACACATTTTTATTTCTTCACAAATTAGGATGAAGATGAACAGTACACTCTTAAAATCTATTCGTATTTGAATAAAAACTATTAACATTCAAATATTACTTTCATTACTCACGCGAACTTATTTTATTTTATTTTTTTTATGTATTCGAGTATGTTTTCTTTCGAAACACAATTTTTTTTATTTATTCGAATAAATAAAAGTTTTATTAGAATATATTTTTTTTAAAATGCAATTTTTTATTTATTTATTTGAATTAATAGAATTTTTATTCGAATACATTTTCTTTTGAAAACATACTTTCATTCAAATAGGATTCTATTTATTTGAATGAAAGTTTAGAATTTTATTTATTTATTTTATGTTTATTTTATCTTACTAAACATACTTAATATTATTGTTTATCTATTTCTCTTCAACCAAACAATTAAATTTTTGCTCACCTATTTCTCTATTTTATATCCTTTTTTCTCTTTATTTCTCACTTATTTTTTCCCTGTCTACCAAACACACACACTTAATGGGCTCGGCCAAACCACCGCTAACATCGAGGACAACTAGGATCGATCTCGCAATCCGTAGTCCAAATGCCTTACGCTGTGAATCGCCCTGTCTTGTCTTGCATGGCATGATAGGTGGCAACAAACATACATGCACTCATTTTATGGGTACTAAGACTACAGAGCTGGAGCACACATTGATTGAGTTTGGGTGTCTTTTATAAGTATCCACCTTCTGCCCCTTAAAACTTGAATTAAAAGCAAGGAAACTAGATCATTCACTTAAGGAAGAAGACATGCGAAATAGATCCACTTCGCTTAAATCTAGTGCATTAAGAAAATATTTTACACAAACCCTCCGTATACGATCGGTGCCATTTGTGGGAAATGATGAAAACTTGTTCACACTCCCAATATGATCACCACCAAAGGACGACAATACTACCATGAAGACTTGCCACTTATAAATGATGCAACATGAAATCAGTCATCTCAAACTAGCAACCTCTGGTCTACGGTCTACTCATTTCCTGAACAGCCAGCCAAAGACAGAGGCTAAAATGAAGATAGGGTCTAATAAGAGCTCCCTCCAACAAGGATATTTTGGATTTCTGCAGCGCAGAGATGTATTGTACAGTTTGAGTGATTTGTCCACCACGCTGAAGCCTACCTCCAAGTTGCTGACAACCAACTCAAACTTGGCAACAACTACATACAAAAAATTTCCAACAAAGCCTCGTCAAAACCAGTGACCCATTCATGCCATCAATGATGTGCACTTTCCCAACAATCAGAACAAGGAGAGGCGCCATTACACAACTACTCCCGTTGAGTTTGTCCATCCCTTCACGGAAACCTTTCGTTTCAAATATCACAGTATTTAAACTCTAATAGCAGCACTACTGATACATAGAGCACACGGATGCATTCATTTTAACTATGTTATTCTTAGAGCCAAACAATCCTTTAACGTGTCGAGCATTCCTGACAACCTTGAGACAAATCCTGTGTTGCATGCCGGATTGCCAATGGATATAGCTGTTTGGTTTGCTTATTGGAACGTCAAATGGGCAAAATCTCATTCCTTTGTTTCTTGAATCATCAAGCACACGAGTGCTGTATCAATCAGTACAAAGATCCTTCTTTTCCCTATCCATCTAGTGACTCTCATGGCTGAATAATTGCCTTCTCAGGCCGCCTGCACTCTCCGAGAATTGCATTTAAGGATACCCACAGGTTCCTCAACAATTTCAACATTTTCTTCTTCATCTACCACCATTAGAAAAACTTGCACTTTCTTTAAATGCAATCATGTCATGGCCCCTATTTCTCATGACAAAAATAACATAGACCCTTGATCACGCGCTCATCCATTTCCTTCAGGGAAAATTTCTGATGAAATCACATATTGGGTTCCCCCAAAATGCCCCTAGAATTTGGTGGACCTGCTACCATTCTCTGTCCCCTTTTCTTTGTATCAGCATCACCCCGCTTTTCTTGAAATCTATGTGTTCTTGGAATCATTCAGATCACATTTATCATTTCCCCCAAAAGAAATGCTGCCACTCTTATTTTGTAACAAGAACAAACTTCTTTCTTGCAACATGGCCAACCTAACAGCTTCAAGAAGTGTTCTCGGCCAAACAACTTCACTCCAGTCTCCAGCCACCATATCAAGTTTTAGCCCTGATATGTAGCAACTCAATCTCTGCTCTTCATTCAAATTCACCCTACAAATCAGTGCATCAAATGATTCTTGATACTCATTCAAGCTTCAGCTATGCATCAATTGCTACATGGGGTCTTAAAAAATGAACCCATATCTGATACAAAGTGCTTCAACCAGCATACGCCATGACAGAAGCCTTCAACACCTTGTTCCCATCCTTGGAACTGATTGTAGGCAACTTCCTCCAGTTCTATACTAGCCATGGTAACCTTATTTTTCTCCAGTGTGCCATCCAAAAGAAAAAACCTTTCACATTTTGATACCCACCTGATTATATCATCTTGTGTAAATTTAGGAAAATCAAGACAAGTAAATCTGGATTCCATTCTCTTCCTTGGTTCTTCAATTCCGTCATCTACAAAGAAAACCCTCTTACAGTCTCATGAAATTCAATGAATAGTTGTTCCATCATGGTACTTTGTTGATCCATAAAAACTCATGAACACTCCTTCACATCCTTGATCATTGCCATCCAACAAGTCACATCCACCAGTATTGTTCTCAGATTCGGCACTCTAATACCAGTGATGGTAAAAATGGATAAATTGGGAAGAAATGAGAGAAGAATGGAGTACAGAAGAGAGGGAGTGAGATAGAAGGAAAATGAGTCAACTACTCTCATTACTCTATTATTCACAATAAGGTGTAATTTACAAAGTGTACTACAAGTCTACAACTGCCTCAACGGCTCCATCACACTCTAAATACCCAATCAATGAATTGCCCATTTTATCCCTATTTACAGAATTATGTGTATCATAGTGCCTTGTTAACTCCTATGCTGGATTTGTTTATATCTTTCTTTGAACAACAAAAAAAAAATGGGGGAGGGGGATGGAGCCAATAATATTATGGCTTGAGCACGATTACTAGATTTTGATTTATAAATTGTAGGTTGGAGTCCAAGCCTAATTTCTGACTAATACATTTAAATTTTTCGGATTTGTTTCATGGAGTTTATGATAGAGTAAGTGTGTGTTTGTTTTATTGGTAACACTCATTCCTAGGCAGCTAAACGGAGAAGTATGTGAGAGGAAACTTTCAAATGAACGTACTTTTGCCTCTCCCAAACTGAAAACCAAACACACTACAAGTGTTTTTTAGTTTGATACAATGACTGTTGTTTCATTGTATCTACATTGCAATTTAAGCAATAGACAAAAAGAATATAAGCTGGAAATATAAGTGGGAGAAGATGTCATACCACAAGTTTCTAAGTTTAAACATTTGGTGTAATATAAAATGATAAAGAAATTAATGAAGATGTCACACACAAGTTACAAGTGAGATGATTAAAATGGATGATTATTTGTGAGTACTAGAGTCAAAGGCAAGTTTTATGGATGTTGTTAGGATGCAAGCACAATCTTACATCGTTTAAACAAAGAGGATGGACATAAATTTATATATACACGGTTGTTTCCATTAGAAAGAGGTCTTTTGGATGATGTCCAAAAGTAAAACCGTGACAACTTACACTCAAAGCAGATAATACCTTACTAATGTAGAAACATGTGTATGTGGTGGAACCCCCAGTTGCACAACAAGTGATATTAGAACCAATGGTCGACCAGGTGATCGTCAAGACTTGACGATTATGATAAAGTTGATAGATGGATCTGGGTATAGGATCTCTTGTATCGAAAGTCTTTCTGATAGTGGATCCATATATGGAGGAGTGTTCTCCAGGTAACATAGAGGATTAGGAGGTATATCTCATTATCGTGAGCTCTATGGGCCACCATCGGATATAATCGTGGACTGGGAAAGGGATGAGTCACCATCGGATATACTCGTGGACTAGGAAAGGGGGTAAAATCATGGTCCTTTATTTGAGAGGGGAATTATTGGGATGCAAGCAAAGTCCCACATCGTTCAAATAAGATGATGGACATGAATTTATTTATATGCACACAGTTGTCTCCATTGGAAAGAAACCTTTTGAGTGATGTCTAAAAGCAAAGCTGTGAAAATTTAGGTCTAAAATAGACAATATCTTATCAATTTGGAGACATGTGTATGTGATAAAACCCCCGATTACATAACAGATGGGTTTATATATGAGAAAAGATACAGAATACTTATATATCATATAATATTATTATAGTGAGGAGACGAGAGGCCTCAATGAGAAGAATAGATTGTATGATTCTTAGTCCCGTGAAAAGGAGAGGGAGACCAAGAAGGACTTTAGAGAAAGTTGTTAAGGGAGATCTTGTGGTAAATAATATTCTTGAAGCTTTGGTTTTTAACCGAGGCGAACCTTTGTTATTGTTGTAATGACTGATGTTTTGTTCATGGGTGACTGTTGTCAAATGAGTTATATTCATGATGTTGTTTGAGATGCAATTGTGGGTCACTGTCGCAATTATTGAATACCATGGTTGACAAATAAACCACACGAATTAAATTCTAGTAGTCGCAACATCACTAAAAATTAATGAATGATCTAAACTAAAATTTAACCATAAAAAAAATATCTAAGCCAATAATAATTGAAGTAGTGTGATATTATTCTGTATCAAAGAAATTAAAAAAAAAATTGTAAATGCATCATAAAGTTTGAAGTTCATTTCCCATTTCCAAAAAATAAAAAAGAACACAAATACACACACATATATCAAGGAAATAATATAAAAAAATACACATACAAATACACACATATATCTGACTGAGTGTGTGACAATAATAGTAATATATTATAGTGAAATTTGGTATAGCTTCCAACATAAATCTATTAGTTGAAGGGATTTACCAATATTGACGAGTTCGAAACCCTTGCTTGAAAACAACCAGAGGTCTGAAAAATTCAAGGCAGGGATATCCAACCCATTTAGAGAATTACCATATCTAAATCCAATATATGTAATTTTTATTATTTATTTTTTGTACCTTATCACGTTAAAAGGGCCTTCTCCAGGAGAGCCTTCGCCACCTCGGATGCAAGTGGTGACACACTTGCTTGTGCATGATTCCGCATTCCTTGACCTTGGTTTCTGAATTCTAGCTTTCTTGCAGTCTTTGGACAACGTGCACTCACCGGACAAAGTTTGGGGTATGTTGGATAGAGTTTCCGGTTCATCAGCTGCTGCCACAGAAGCTATTACTACAGCGGTTGCGAGCAAGGTAGTCAGTGCCACACTGCATGCTCTACTCACTCTCACACTCTGAAATTTGCAAGTGACGCATCTTCTCCCAGACCCGCTCAATTTCTTAGGGGGGCTGCATCTGTGTTGCCAATTGATCGCACTCTGAATACCCCCAACGCGTACCCACGATCCACAGTACATCGATAAACTTGGGCCATAAATTAGCATTATCTTTCCCCTCTCCTCCAAAATCTCATTAAACGGCCATATTATCTTCTTTTCCCGTTCTACACGCTGCGCTTTTTGTTCGAAAGCAAGAAAAGGTATTTAAAAAACAAGGCCCCGTTTGGATGGATCTAGTGTAATAACTAATAACTCATGTTTTTGTGTGGGTGATAAATTTAAACTTGAAGTTGATTTAAATTAATAACATTAACTTTTTATTACTTTCAATTTATTAATTATTTTTTACGTTATTATATGAGATTTATAGTTTAAGTGTGATATTTTGACAAAATTAATTTAAACTAAAATGTTATTTGTTTGTTATCATTATAAAGTGGACTTTTCGCTTGACGTGGCATTTTCAGAGTTATCAGGTGTTGTGACAAGTGTTTTTTAATCTCTGGTATGGTGGATTTTCTTTACCTCCAATCTAGTACTTTTGTCTAAAATCTTAGTTTTATTTTCTCTTTGCATGACACATTTTAGCCTTAACAATTATTTACTTAAATAGATGAATTTTTACACTCGAAAATAACATTAACAATGTAATTTCCTCACTATTTTATAAATACTTTGCAAACGTAAAATAGTTAAATAAAACTAATAACAAATATTTAAATTTTCACTTAGCCTTTCAAAAGGTCATATATAAATTTAAAACTAACTGAAATATAAAGAAACATAAAACCACTAAAACAAATACCTAGATATCGTGTCCCATTAAATTATGATATTTAGTTATAATAAGGAGTTCTAAGTGTCGAAGAAAAAGATACATACTAGAAGGGAGTTGAATAATATATATCAAAAACTCACATTTTTACAGTGAGACAGTAAAAAATATAAACATATCAAGTATTGGAAAGTAATTAGACGAAGTGGTAAAACAGATAAAATGACACAAATATTTTTATATTGGTTTGTCTCCAATCTAGAGAATACATCATGTTCTCAATCCTACTAGATTGAGTTTCACTATCTTCAACAAGATACAAATATTCTTTAACAAATCACTTATAGCTAAAACTAAGTATTCTTTCAACAAACCTCTCTAGGCTTAAATTCAAGTATTTTTTAAACAAGTCTCTTCGAGCTTACCCACTAAGTGTTCTTTTAAACAGACCACTCCAGGTTTAACCCTTACAAATACAATTGATAAGAGTTATAAAAATAGCTTCGTCTCTTCTAAATGTGATACTATACAATTTCAGCACAAGTAATCTACAAATAATTCATACAAGATTTGCTATAAAAATCTTCTTCATAGAGCTTCAGATGTCTATTTCATGTTTTACTCATCCTTATTCACATTGTGCATTCTTACTTGTCTCTTAGTCCTCTCTCTTTCTTTTGTTTGAAGGCTTGACCCTTATAAGCAGTTTTAGAGAAGATGATCATTGTAGTAACATTCCAAATTTAAATGTTCAAATTTTCTTGAGTTGCTTCGTTTGTCTTCCCAACTATTTTTTAGAGGGTATTTATAGATGTATTTAATGCAAACATTAAATGTTGATCAAAGATGCGTGTATCTATTATCTGATATAGACAACTACTTATCATCTTTTTCTTCTTATTTTGAGTGTGACACAGTGGTGTCGGAGCATAGTCATTCTTTTCAGTGTCTTGTCCAAGATATCTGAGATTTTTTTTTCTATCCTGACATAATGATTTGACATTTCCTTTTTGAAAGCTTTCGTTTTCTTCTAGAAACCATCCTTATTCGATTTTTTAAGAAATAAAATATTAATTTTTCATCAAGGAATAGTCCGACTGTATAACGAGAAATAAATATGACATTTATTTCATATTATATGCCTCGTCTGGTGTGCTTTGTCTTACAGACGAAGTATGTCATTGCTTCATCTAAAATGCTTTCTTTTGAAATACTTTTGACTTCTATTTTTTGTTTTATGAAACTCTAATCTATTTAGAAAAGTGTTTGTTATCATAAAAACTCATAGTGCTTCAAGAGATTTCAGATGATACTCTAGGCTTCCTTTTGATTTAACACAAAGTCTCATCATCATTATCAACATCAAACTACTCATCACCTATAAATGAAATTTAATTATAGATGAAGCAAAAACAATAAAGGGGAATGAATTACATCTTATTCATATCTGTAGCACCAGATTTTTCTGAGTCACCTTTACCAAGGTCAGAAGAAAACTAGGATGACACAATAGTTCTTGAAGGCCTAATAAAGCGCCTAAACAGACCAGGACAACATTTAAAGGCCCAAGATCCTGGAAACCCTAGTTTCAGGCTCGAACGACCATTCCCAAGCTCAGAACGTCCGTTCCCAATTGAAAAAATAGCCTATAACCCTAGTTGGGAACAGTCATTCTAAAGGCCCATTTCATGGGTTAGAACGACTGTTCTGAGCATGGAAATGACCGTTCCACGCCCTCAGAAACCTACACACTATTCAATTGACATAGTCCTAACATAAATTCTCTCTTCTTCCTCTCTAGTATTTCTTAAGTGTTTGTGAGGTTTTTGTAGAGCGAAAGACTGTCAAAATGTGCCTTTATAACAAGATTTGAGATTGTTCTTCTATAATATTTGCTTCAGAGGTATTTTCATCAATTCTCTCTCCTTTTTCTTATTTATTTAATCATTTTGTCCATAGTATTATTACCATAGAATAATAAATAATAATGTAGACGTTAGGCATGTGAATGACTAATAAAAATGAATAAATATATAATTATTGTTCATTATTATGCTAAATTCACCATAGGTTATCAATTGAGGGTGTCGTGAGGTACCTAATACCTTCCCCATACATAACTGATCCCTAAACCTAATTCTAACTATAAAGGTCATTATTAATTTTTGAAAACCCTTTTTTTCTGATGTTTTGAGTAAAATATCAGTGGTGACTCTTAAAAACTTTTTTTTTTCAAAAATCACTGGTTAAAGATTAGTCTAGTCTTCGAGTGTTCCTAAGCCGATGGAATTTTTAAATGAAAGTCAAAACCATCTGTGGACAAGATCAATTTTTTTTAGATTCTAACAATATCTTGATATGAATGTTAAACCTCAAAATAACAATAACATGTTACATTCAAAACCAATATATAGATTTATAAACAATTATATTATGCAATGTTTTTATGTTCTAGTGCAATATACATGTGAAGTCATTTCAAAATCATTTCACTTTAAAGAACATATCATAAAAGTAGTTCAAAATTGCATGACAATGAATAGAGTTGCATGGTCAAAAGTGTCAGCCACCAAACACTCTTACTAGGAGAAAGATTCACCAAGGCTTATCAGAATCACAAGGCACGCAAGGTCAATCTATATTCATAAGAGTGTGATTGAGACTTTAAAACCAAGTTAACCACCAAAGTTTGGATATGGTGATCACTAAGGGACTTTCCTGACACCAAATTCTATACTAATACCCCTTACAAAATTCAAGTTTTTATGCATGCACCAGATTTGAAAATGTATAACAACAACATAAATAGATAAAACTTGAATCAAAACTACAACACACATAAAATAATTAAAATAGTTAAAATACAAGTAAAACAATCATTAAACTTAAAATAAAAACAATAAATGAACTTATAATAAAATAGTTATATGTTGTCATACATATGACTTGTTGTGAGAAAATCGGAAGTATATGGTTGTGGTCAAGGAATAATTTATTAAATCCACAAGGACTACGTGTTTGACCTTGTAATTATTAGTATTTAGTTAAATTTAATCAAAGAAAAAAGAACGATTAAAGATTAAGTTAGGAGTAATTTTAAGATTGATTGTAAATAAAACTTAGAATTAAAAAAGAAACAATTATTTTAATTATAAGAGAAATTTCTAGGAATAATGGTTTGCTTAATGAGTTCCTATGTGTTCAAATATTTATCCGATATTTAATTATTTCCACTTAAAAGTAAATTAATCTAAGGTATCCTTTGCTCTCTCTCAAGATACAAAGGCGTATTTAATTGAATTAACTCCTACTCCCACGCAATTATTTTCAATTAAACTCATTATGATCTATACTAATTTAGTTTATCCTTGAAGGATTAAACCTACTCTTGTGGTTTAAAGCCTAAGTTGCTTTCTTTAGATTTCAATATTTAGATTAACTTTTTAGTACCTCCTTAAATATCTAAAATTATGAAAAATAATGATTAATTGTTTATTATATATAATTTGTAAAGAAATTAAATCAAGAAGGGAAAAATAATTAAATATTTAAATTAATAATTCATAATAGCATAAAGGTTCTCAAGGGCTAAGTCCCATAATTCACATATGTTCATAATAGTTCTTCTAAAAGAAAAGAAAGATAATATAAAAAGAAACAAACCTAACAATCGGAGAAACACAAACACGTATTCCCTATCTTCAATCTCTCTACAAGAGTAAAATACAAAGTGAAAATCTTTCATAACTCTAATAGTCTAATTTATAACCTAAAAAAAGTCTAAAAGACATACCTAAAACAAAGTCCTAATGATACGATAAAACAAAATAATCCAAAAGATAATGTTTAACAACTATATTATATCACAAGCATAATCGGATGGGTAACGACCATAACACGTTTGGTTGTTGAAACTCTTTTCCTTCACTTGGGTTGGTCATGAGCGTGATACATGGGTCACGATTGTGACCTTCTATGTCTTGTTTCTTCTTTTGTTTTACGAGGCTATCATGAGTGTGACTCATGAGTCATGATCGTGATCTTTGCTAACTTATTTCTTCTTTTTTACAAGGTTATCATGAGTGTGACTCATGAATCACAATTGTAATCTTTTCTGACTTATGTTTTTCTTGTCTTTTCTTCCTTAATTTTCTAAAAAAAATTTGTCTTCACCTAATACTTACAAATAACAAAGCAAAACAAAAATATAATAAGCATAAAAAGAAAAATTAAATTTTAAAAACAACTCCTATGATAAATGCATGAATTAGTTAAAAACTTAAGACCAAAATATGATAAAAATGCAAAACATCACATGCTATATTCATTGAAATTAAAGCAATACAATCGCTGAATTTAAATAAAACAATACACATTACTTCATGATTTACTTACTAGTACATATTAATTTAATTACTTGATAATCTGCATTCAAAACAAATATAGTTACATATGACTAACGATTTAGTTTGGTTTAGATCAATTTCATATTCCTAAACTACAAACCAAATCAAATGGCATAAGTTAGGAAAATAAAAAATAGAACAAAATCACTAATATTCGTTTAACATCAGTTTTTATATTTTGTTTGATTTAATTCGATTATAAACACCCTTATATATATTAATTAATATCTTTATGTCTATATATATATATATATTAATTAATATCTTTATGTCAATTTTTCTTTCTTATTCTTTAATCTTCTCACATTTTACTTACTCAAGTCCCAATGGCAACCAATGCCAACATGGGACCAACACGGTCATGTTAACTAAGGTAATCATTCTTCTTTGATTTTTGAAATCCTCGCCTCGAGGCCGAGCATTGTCGTACTATCCCTTAGCACGCTCATGTTCAGATCCTTACCTTTTTGCATCCAAAAAGGAGTACGATCATTGTTCATTCAGCATGACTATGTTCACCTCAAGCACGGTAGTAATTACCAGCAACCAACATGATTGTGCTCCAGAGAGTACACTCATACTCTCGAAGCAACGTTCTCAAATAATGTGAACACAACTTTGTTGAGTACCTCCCTAATACCTCAATTCACGTTTATAAGTTTATTACTTTTCAGAAGGCTTAAAGCTTAAAATGATTTATTGATCAAATTAGGAATGATAAGTAAATTTATTTATGTGAAATAATGTTTGAACCTACTTTAATTTTGATAGAAAATATCTAATTTAATTAGTCACGGATACAAGTGCAAATAATATTTAATTCACGGATATATATATCTGTCCTGTAATTGTATCCGTATTCACTTAAAATTTATAAATATTTAATTTATTTTTTTAAAACTTACTTAAAATTTATGTAATTTCTTATCCTATTTATAATTTGTCAAATAAAATTTAATTAATATAATTTTATAATTATTTTTATATTAAAATTATTGTTTTTAAATATATCTTTGAAAAAATAGTACTTAATTAATTTTTGGATAGGTACGAGATAAATATTATCCATATTCGAGATAGATATAAGGATGAAGACATAAATTTCATATTTCATATCTATCAAATATAAAAGCTGAGATGGATATATGATACAAAAATGATCACAAGAACGAGTATAAAAATTCTCATATACTCATCTCACTCCATTACCATCCCTAAATCAAATCATATCCAATTCAATTGAAATTGTCACAATCCATAATCCTTATGCATCAATCCATGACAAGAGAGATTAAAAAATAACGAATACAATTTAACTGATCATCTACAAAATGAATCAACATGTGCATGATAACCAACATACTTGCTTGGTATTCAAAAGCCATCAAGTGCATTTCTTTTCTTTCAACGGTTAATAAAGCAAATTTAAAAAGCAAATTTAAATTCATTTATATGTTAATAATAGCACAACAAAATTAGGCATGTTTCTTAAAGGCATTCTAATCTATATAATTTAAAATTATTCCTTATAAATTATAATCATATAGGATACGTATTTATCTTAATACTAGTTAAAAATATTAAAATCAATTGCATCTTTTTCACTTCGATAAAAGTCATAATTTGTTCTCGTGCAGCCATTAAGTACATTTGTTTTCTTAACTACCAACCGTTAAGATAACCCTACTTGATGTATACAACTTTTATACACATTTTACCTTGATAACTACACACTTTTGTTAAACAAAACTTCAAGGACACTTAAATAACTCCAAAAATTGCTATTGAATACATTTGCTTTCATAAACTAAATTTAAACTCATTTTTATTATAACTCTACTCATACAATTTTTTTTTCTTCTCATTTTACCCTTAATAATGGCACGTAGACTCTTGTTAAGAAGACTAAAATACACTTGAATAACTGCAAACACTACTATAAGAAAAATTTGTTATTCTTTCATCTTTCGATAGAGACACGGACAGAGTGACTATTAAATGCTAGTCGTAATAATAGCACAACAAAATTATGAATGTTTATTATAATTGATAGAATTACGTGACATGCAACCCATTTCCAAATGTAACAAAAAAAGTGCAACCTATTTCCAAACTCTAAATCTCAGAAGAAACAGCAAATACTACGAATTTTTGTAACTACTAATTAATTCTTTCATCTTTAAACAAAAAATGCCAATCATTGGGGAAGAGGACAAAAATGCGACTTGACAACCTCCTCCACCCCGTCCAAAAAGAAAAAAGAAACGTTGGATAGTTTTGACGAATTAGGACTATGGTACATTTGGCACGGAATGACCATTAGAGATAAAAGGAGATGCTTACAATATCAAAGAATCACAGCTGGACCTGGTTAGTCAGGGTATCACTAGTTGGCTGAACCCAAAGATCCTCATGGGGAAAATCAGGTCATGCATATAGACCAGCGAATCTCCAAGAGGCTATATATTCCAATTATACAAATCATCCACGCACAGCTTGTCAGATTATGGTTTGCAGTAATGTCTGACGCACGGAAAATAATTTGCCTACAAAATGTCCCATATGTACATGTCCCAAAAGCTCATCCAGAATTGTTGGCAACTTCTTCAGCTCTCTGCCTCATCATCTCCATTACAGCAGCTCTTCGCCGTGAATCAGACTGTTGCTGCAGCCTCCTCAAGTGTTCTTTTAAATCTCTGATTTGATCCAAAAAGAAAATGTTATTCAAGCAAAATATATGAACAGTGACTTGAGTAATTGCTAAGTCCGATCACAAACCTGCAACGGGGTACATGGCATTCAGATTCCTTGCAAGCACGAGCATGGAGTTGAAGCAAATACCACATTTTCTTGCATAGAACACAACCTCCAGAGGCACGTGTTTTGCAATGCATCCCATGACGGAAAAGCCCCTTCACCTTGCGACAATTGGGATATTGGCAATGGGCAGAACGACATTGGGATGCATGGACAAGAAGATCAAGCATTTTTCGTAACTGTAAATTAGGAAATCCATTTGTATCAGACCTTATAAAAAGAGGTGCAATAGCACCACTAAGCACGGTGATAAAATGAGACTGCTAATCAAAATCTTTTAACCATAAAGAATTGATTAGTAAGCATTGAAGTATTATCCCAATGTTATAACACAATGTATTTTGTAAACCTCCCCCATACTTCCCAAAACAAGTTGTCAGTTCATTTGATAATCATCAGAAAAAAGTTCAACAAAGTTAACAATGAAAGCAGACTGCCTAGTGGATATACAGCCTTTGTTGCTGCTTCCGCTGTAATTGTATAAGCAAATAAACACTCCAACAACATATATGTTCTGCATATGTATAAATTCAAGAAAAATCCATAATTCTTATGCTCAAATTCACATTATATAATTTTATATGTTCTACATGTTAGAAAATATAAATGAAGGCAGCTCCTCTTCACACTCAAATTTCACCACTCATGAATCTATGACTTCTTTATTTGAAATGCAATATAACCGAGTAATAAACAAGCATGCTCATTGAAACCTGCAATACTCGAAGTTGCCTTGCTTCCTTGTTTTGAGCATCACGATCTGCCATTGACGGGTGATTTGTCAATTTATGAGGATGATCAGTGCCACCTTCCTTTTGATAACAAGCATTGCACACATCATATTCAGGGCAAACCTCACATCGCCAACCTTGACCTGTTTCTATGTCAAGACGGCAAATATAACATGTAGTAACAAATGCAGGAGCAGTTGGATTATGAAGATGATAGAGAACCATCATAGAGGAATGCTTGGCCCGCCTTAGAGTATCATACTGATAATGATTTCCCTGGCAGAGACTCAGAAAAGCCTGCCTAGTGTCAAAGAATTCACTCTCAAGAATCTCATCTTTGTCCTTTGTATCAGTGGGTACTTCAGTAATTTCCACCTGCAAGAGCATACAGGGTACATCGGTAATTCCAAATTCATTTTTTCTAGTTGGTAGCTATCAAAAGAATTTATCACATCAAATTTTCAGCTCATCTGACTCGCTATTTATGCTGAAACCAAGGTGATTCACAGCTAAGCTGCAGCCCAGGTACTTAAATGATGCGGGGATGGTATGACAACTATGAGGATACCAAAAGTTTTAATAAATCAAGGCAAGATACAATGAAGATAAGTTAACACAAATTAAAAAATTGTATATATCCTATATAAACACTATTTGTAAAGAGGCTTTGATCAGGCCTGCTAGGCATGTCATATATGGACCAATATTGGTTGTGCGTATGACACCAATGTCTGACATTTTTGGAGTATCTGGGCTTCATAGCTGCCAAATACTAACAATTTTTCACACAACTCTACAGGTAAAATAAATAAGAAGAACTAATGCAGAATCAATCACTTTACATGTGAACATTAAAAATGGTCGCTTACTCACAGGATAAAGGGTGTGTTTCTCCCTCTGGTTAATAGGATGCCGTTCTCTCTCTTCATGCTTTAGTTCTGCTTCATAACACCTAATAGAACTTTGTTATCAATATACTGAATATCTTGGAATGTAGGAGGAAAAAGTAAGAGTGTGTGACAAGCATATCATGATACAAATTGTGTATCAAAAAACCTATTTTCCAAATCATGAACCGAATTGTAACGTAAATCGTAAAACTCATTATCAATAATAAAACATAGCATATATAGCATATATATATATATATATA